CTTGATTTTTCTTTCATTATCTCGTTTCCATAACTATGATTGATATTGTTATAGACATTTTATCATTATTGTCATTCTTATTAGTATTGTTGTTTATATTATTGTTATCATTGTATAATAGTCATCATCATAATAATAATGATAATTATTATTATTTTCATTATTACTATCATTTTATCATTATTGTTATCGTTATTGTCATTATTATCATTTATCATCATCATCATTGTAATTATTGTTATAATTATTATTCATTTTTGTTATTGTCGTCATCATCATTTTTATCATCACCATTCACATCATTATCATCATTGTTATTACTGTTTTTGGCATCATTATCAATATCATCATGATTATCACTGTTACTCCTATCATTATTTTATTATTAGTTTCATTCTCATTACCATTATTGCCATCTTTCTATAATTATTTATGTTATTTTTATATGTTGATATTTCTTATTTTTTTGCTTTGTTATCTTTCTTATGCTTAATATGATTGTTAAAATTTAGCTCTTAAAATGTCATCATAGAATTATCAAAACATTTCAGTATTGTCAATATTATTATTAGTATTATCAATATCATCGTCATAATCATTATCACCAATATATTTATTATCATTGCCTTATTCCCTTATATAATCAGCATTATCCTAATAGTTAATACACAGCATCATCATCATTTATAAACATGTAGGGCTAATATCACCATCATTCTTATTGTCACTGTAATTATTATTATTATCATTACCTTTTTTTAATTGCTGTTTTTTATTGATTTTAATATTCTAACATATTGACCTATATTTTCTTAGCCAGTGGCAAAATTCCTTTATTTCTCAAATACGTGACACACGAATTCCGTGCTTCTGCTGTGGCTTCGTGACTTCGTTGCAAAACCCTGGTACTGTTATTATATATGCATATTTTTCTTCGCTATTTTTTCTCCGTCTTTTTCCGACTTTTTTTTTTTTTTTTTTTTTTTTTTTTTTGCTCTCTCTCTTTCTGGATTTTATCTTTTTTCCCTTGATCTGCTTTCTCTCTAATTCCGATTTTATGTAATTATTCTTTCGTTCATCCTATTCTTACTTTTTTCTTATTTTTTTACTTCTTGGTGTTTGAATATCGTTGTCGTTTTCATTGTCGGAGTCACTATTGTTAATGTTATTGTTATGATTACTCTCATCATTACCATTATTATTATTACTATTACTATTATTATTATCATTATTATCATT